TATATATATTCTTTGAAAGTAATTCATAAAAATGACACTTTTAAATTATATTTATTTTTATTTTGGAAAAAAATAGTTGTGCTATTTTTTTTGTAATTTTGTTAATATGTAATAGTATATTTATTTTGAGTAGTGGCAGTATATTTATGTAAACTGTAAAAGTATCACTTTATTTATTATTATTATATCTGTTATTTTTAATAGATTATTTATGTATTTATTCGGCTCCATTACTTTTGTTCGTGTATAAGTGTGTGTGTGTGTGTGTTCAGACACTGCGCATAGATGCGCATTCAGGAGTCTGTTGCCACCTGCACTAACAATCCTCTAGGAACAGACAACGAAGCATTAACAGGAATAGACTGAAAACAGATCAAATGTTTGTTTTCAATCGACGTTATCTTACATAGACTCCTACTATGCAACATGGACTACAGTGTATTGCCCACATCATGCATGAAAGCTTGCAGTGGCATTGCAGAAGATTCTGCTACTACATTTAAATCAGTTCATACACTTCATCCGCTGACTTCGAGGAAAACTTAAAATAAATGCAATACCTGATCGTCTGCTCCTACGGACGGATGGTCCTTATCTGCCTCTTTATCTATCCGCAATTCCCTTTCGATGCAATAGTTGCGGGATCTACCCTGACGTCAAGTAGCGACTGGAGGAGGCGTCTTTCATTTGACAATATAATGATACAGTCCGGATACTATGATACTATTCCCGAGTGCCATTCACAGAGCCCTATAGATTTAAATAAGCTATTACGTTTTGCAAGCAGATGAGGGTTGGAAACGCCTGCTGGACCACCATGCCAAATGACAGGACATTAACAAAGCACAGTTAATACATTAAACAAACAAATAAATAAATATCCCTCGATATAACCCTAAATAGTTAAAACCACGTTGGCTACATTTGTTTTACCTTTTGCACTTGTAGTGTTTTGCTCTTATTTGCTAATTTATCTTTTTTTAAGTTAGTGTAATTATTTTAAATCTTATTTAAATTAATTACCCTACTTCATGTATTATTAATTATGCCGCATGTTCATTTTGTGGCCTAAAACCCGGAAGAGAATTATTCATTGTAATCTTCGTCCTTTTAAATAGATAGGCCTAAACACTGACTATGTTAAGTTTAATTACGTTGTAATTCTGGAATCTGTTGTAAATATTTATCTTATCTCGAATGCCGTTTGTTTTCATTTTCAGTAAGGAGAAGTACTATTCAGTATTTAAAATTGATTTATCTTTCTACAATTTCGGAAGTAAGGAGGGGCTTCTTAAATGTACTTCCGGTTTCGTATGAGGAAGGAGACGGAGTTTGTTAGCTATCAACGCTACGTGCTGGTTAACAGTTGCAGCCCTGTTGTTACGGAAAGATAATTACTAACTGCGCCAATAAAGTCGCGATTTTAATACGGGTATGTCGGCCTATTTCTAAAACCTTTTGTTCCCGTATACATTTATAAACCTCAGCAAGATTAATATAAGAAACCGAAGTGTGCTTTTCAAGAGAAGTGAGTGAGTACGAGAGAGCACACCGCAAGACCGCTCTTTTGTTTGACTAGAACACGGAGCATCCATTGGCTGTTGGCGTTTAGGGATTGTTTACCGGAAGATTAGCACGCGGCTAAGTATGCTATTCCACACAACACTGTAGATTCATATAGTCCACAGCATAATCGCTTCTGTTATAGGCTTACTTCAAAGCTGGTATGAAAGAATGTATATATGGGTGATGAATGAATGTCCAAACTTTCCTTTGTTCTCCATTAAGCAGGTCAACTGTAGTTTGTTTATGACTAGTAGCTCATATAGATATTGTAAACGACATTTATTATGGGATAATGATATATGGTGATCCACAAAATCTACAGTCTTGTAATACCATCTTTACAATCATGAAAATATGTGATAGTTATTGCAAGACTTACTTATTATGTAACGTTACTACTCTCAAATATTCCACTTTCTCTTGTGCAATTCATAGTTGTTGCATTCAGGTGTGAAGACGTTTTTAATCTAACTGGTGGTGGTATTTGTTCAGTAAAAAGTATAACCATGCAAATGTGTAGATATTAAGGATTGGTACCTGACATACCAATGGCATTTATTTCCATTAAATGATTTCTGAGAATCCACATTATTTGATCATATCAACTGGAAAAGTCATGGCAATTAATTAGTCAAAAGTGCCAGAAGCCGTGTCAAAAAGGATGTTTGTTGGTCAACAGGTACCATTTCAATGGGCTCCAAGAGAAGACGAGCCACCTCTTCTTCCAGCAGTGTCAGCGGAGGAGACTTTGATGATGCTGCCTCATCAACTCCAGTCAGTGGATGGAAGAGGAGGAGAGCTTCCACTGCTCCTTCTGTTGATCAAGTGAGTACATGGGGTTCAGTATATTCAGACGACTTGCTTTAGCTCGTAGATTGGTCATAGATCAGTTTAGATCATAACACTAATCTCGTCAGTTGACTTTGTCTTTTTCTTGTCTTTAGATTGCTGTGTGCCATGAATTGTACAACACTGTCAGAGATTACAAAGATGACCAAGGCAGACAGATCTGTGAGCTTTTTGTTCGTGCACCAAAGAGGAGGTGCGAGTATATTCCTTGTCCTTTAATGTACACTTGTGAGTCAAATGTTTCGACACACCTGCAGCTATTTTTTATTACATGCTATTTTACACTTTACTAAATGGAGTAAAGCCATAAAACTGAAAACTGGACAGTTAATGGCTGCTTTTACTTCATTGTCTAGTCTCTCTCAGGGTTATTATAGTCAACTACAACTAAAACCATTACATTTTCTTTACCTGTAAAAAAATAAACGTTAATAGAATAAAATAGAGTATAAAAAATGATGAATTAATTAAAAATAACACTTATATTACATCACAGTTATTACAATTATATTTATTTTTATTAGAAAATAAATCATTGTGCTCTATAATTTTCTTTAATTTTGTTAATAGTCTAATATATAAAAACAAAATCATAAGCATTTTTGTAATGCTTTTTTTTTAGTAAAATAAACATGAACTAAAATAAAATATGTAAAAAAGGACAACATTTATTTACTATAAATGTTATTTAACATATTTAAAAAAAAAACTAATCAAAATGGGAGAAAAAATCACTAAAACTTTCACTAAAATAAAAAGACAAAAAAATGGAAATTATAAAAATAAAAAAATAAAAAAAACAATAATAGTATCTCATTGATACTAAAATAACACTGGCTCAACTCATTCATCTTATAAAATAATGCATGCAGAAAAGTAAAAGTAGTAATCACACTTGTAGTTTTTTAAAGAAATTAATTTTGTGTATTTCTTTTTTAAATGAATTTTACCATGTGATGAAATAAACCATACTGAGTTTAATGCATGCAATACTAACCTATGCCTCAACCTCTATTCTTCTTTTTCCTGTTTTAGGAATCAGCCTGACTATTATGAAGTGGTGAGCCAGCCCATAGACATGATGAAAATACAGCAGAAGCTCAGGGCAGAGGAATACCAGGATGTAGAGCAGTTCTCAGCTGACTTTCATCTGCTTATTAATAACACCAAAGCATACTATCAAGTGAGTTTGCATTTACATTTACACATTTAAATGAATTTAACACTGAAGTTTCTGGCACATGAATCAGCTCAGTCTGTCCGCTATTTTAAACTACTGGTTAGATGCATAGATGCAGTCAACGTAGCTGTTGCACATTCAAAACTGTTCAGCATTACAGCCACCGTCAACTCAGAAATGCACATCTGTGGGTCTCTTACAACAGGCCAACAGTGCAGAGTACAGAGCTGCCTGTAGGCTTTTGAACGTCTTCCTGACTATCAAGAATGAACTACTACACGGAGCCGAAGGAGAAGAGGCTGAGGATGATGAGGAAGGTGAAGATGCGGAAAACCCAAGTGCTTCCATGGAGGAGGAGGTAAGGATTTATTTTTTTCTGTTTGCGTTTATGGATGTTTTGTAGTTTTTAAAAATTATTATTATTAATATGCACATCCAGACTGATATAATTTTTCTCCTCTACACACCTTTGCCCAACAGAGACCTCCAAGCTATCTAAAAGCCATTCTGGAGCAGCTCTTGGAGGCCATAGTATCATGCACTGATTCCTCAGGGAGGCTTGTTAGCGAGCTATTCCAAAAACTTCCCTCCAGATTGGTGAGACCCACATTTGAGTAGTCACATAGTGTGGATAATAATGTCAGACTAGTTTGTTACTTTAATCAAAACTGACTTAAGTTCCCATTCCTTCCTTTCCAGCATTATCCAGACTATTATGCTGTAACAAAAGAACCAATAGATCTGCGCACTGTGGCTCAGAGGATACAGGTATGTGAGGCTTTATAATAATTTCAACTGTGACAAGACTGTCAAAGGCTGATGTAATATATTGGTCGTAATTGAACGTAATAATGACACCCATTATGCACTTTTTTTTTTTACGTAGCAAGAGATTTTGTATAATAATTATTATAACATGTTGGCATCTTCATCCACCCTACTTTTAACGTAAGAGCAGGTCTGACCATTTGTAACTTGAATGTGCAAGGCTTCCAGTGTCTGGCACTTCCAGTTATTTTAGCTGTACAAAAACAGTCTGTTATGGTGCTTGATATTGCAAACTGTTATTTGTTATCATAT